CACTTTCTCTTCTGGTAGCACTTTTACAAAACTACCAAATAAACATGTACATCTTTCATACCTCAAGACCCACACCTTTCCTTATCTTTATCTACTGTGCTTCTTGTCCCAAACCTGCCTCCTTTCCCAATCAAAATTCCTACTCTTAGGGTTGCATCAAAAATAAAGACAGAAAAAATAAAACAATCAGTTTATTATTACTAAGTGTTCATCTAAACAGACAATGCACCCAATTTTAAACTGGCAAGAATAATAGCATATACATAGATATAGATATAGATACAGATAGATATAGCTATATTGAGATATATATTGATATATGTAATATACATATATATCAATCACTTGAGAATACCTGACACACATAATAAACATGTATAATATATTTGTATATATTACATATAATATGTAATATATTTCAAATATTAACCACTTAATCCTTGCAACATATTGAGGCACAAAGAGCTTAAATAATTTGCCCAATATTACTCTGCAATGCAAGTGGATGGGGCTAGGGTTCAAAACTGGGCAGACTGTGCTTTTAACCACTGTGTTATCTGCACATGTGTCCTCAAGTCAAATGATGAGGACCTCACCAAATTTATTATTTTTTACTTTAAATATAGAGTTTAAGATGGATTAATGAAAGGCAGTGTCCAAATATACAATTTGATCAAAGCTACTCATTGACAGATGCAAATGGAATTCATTGTGGGGCAGTTGACATGTGGCAACTAATAAATGAACTCTGTCCAATCTGGAAAAGACTAAGAATATGAGCAGAACATCTGTGGAGAAGAAACACCATAGATGTGCTTAAAGGTGTGAGGACTGTGAGAAGAATTTTGAGACTTTTGAGCCTGGAAACAGAATACAATGGCAGAACTACCTTCAAATATCTGAGAGGAATCTCATAATTTTCTTGTCAATTGATCATGAATAAAGTGTTGATATCAGAATTCACGTTAATCAAATGTCACTTGGGTTCATAAGAATAGCTCTTCAGATACTTTATTGAAAGAGGATTCCTAACAAATACAAATTTTGCTGGTTGATATGAGGAATGGGGTGGGGTGGGGTGAGGTGGATGAGGTTCAGGGATAAGGAGTGGAGAAAGGGTAGATGAAAACTATAGTACAAACAGCACATACTAGCCAAGAGGTTTCAACAAAAATGATAAATGAGGAGATATGAAGGGGTGGAGTGAGAGTCAAGATCAGGCAGTTGACATTTCCTGGTAATCTTTTTAAAAAAGTAAAGCTGTGTTAAAACAGCCTTTTGGAAGTACCCTCCTTTGGCTCTGGCCCTCTAACATACAGAATTACTAGGGTAATGTGTAAAGTGCCTACCATGGTCCCTGGCCCTCTGGAGGGTCTCCATGTTCTGTATAACTTTTGAATGGCTTCTCTTCTACAGATCCCTGCTGAGCCAGCCCAAGTCAGAGGCTAGCGGGCTGTTCTCACTGGTCTGCTGCTTTATCTTCATCCAGCAGGAAACCCTGGACTGCTCTCCAATTTCTGTTAAGACTTCACCCAGTTTTCAAACTGATGGATTGGAGAGGCAGAGTATGTTTCCCTCTATTGCACAATCTCTGACAAAACTGGCTTTATGATTCTTACACCTACTGTGATTGCCTATTTTGGAATTCTATACCTATTTGTTTTCTAATTCTACATGGAGCTTTCTTGAAGAATGGCTGCATGTTGACTTTAATGACTTAAAAGTATCCTGCCAGAGGTACTTTCTGAAAAGTTTATGGTTTTTTTGTAAGAACTTGGTCATTTTTTTCCCTGGCCCATTGGTATACAAAGGTCAAAAAAAAAAAAAAAGCCTTGGAATTGGAGTCAGATGATGTGAATTTGTGCTATTTTTCTGACATACCTGTAAGTTTTATAAACTTAGAGAACAACTCCTGGAGCCTCAGCTGTCATGTCTAAAAATGGATATTACTCCTCATATTTAATGAAACATGGGACAGCTGAATAGGATTTTGTGGAATTTTAAAAGTTTGGTGAAGAATTCTCCTTTTAGGAGGAAATCTGTATCTACAAGACTGACTCTTGGGGAAAAATTGTTGATCAGTGACTGGCACTGATAGCTAATATTTATTATGCACTTACTGATGTTTTGTTTTATTATATTTTGTTACTAACTGATGTTTTAGATGTATTAGTTGATTTCAGTCCCCTAACATTCTTGCAGAGTAGGTATTTTTATTGCCTGCCTTTATAGATCAGGAAAACAGAGCACAGAGAGAGCCAGCAACTTGCCTAAGGTCACCCAGGAAGAATGTTAGAAGCTGGGATTTGAAACCTGGCCACATTCCTCTAGGACCTGACTTTGTAACCATGAATCCCTTGAAGGCTGGAAGTAGGGACCCTCCCCTCCCCAGGACCAGCTACCAGAGCAGTAAATCTGTCAAGACATAATGTCTGTCTTTTAAATATATTTTTACCTTTTTTTAACACCTTTATTGTGGTATAATTTCTATACAATAAACTACACATATTTCAGATATACATTTTGATGTATTTTGATAGATATATACACCTATGAAACCACGACTCCCCAAGAGGTGCAATTTTTGAATTCCCAGTTTATCCTTTCCCACCCCTTTTACCCCCTTACCATAAGTTTATTCTCTATGTGAGTCTGCTTCTGTTTTGCAGATAAGTTCATTTCTGTCCTTTTTTTTTAAGATCCCACATATAAGTCATATCATATGGTATTTTTCTTTCTCTTTCTGGCTTACCTCTCTTAGAATGACAATCTCTAGGTCCATCCATGTTGCTGCAAATGGCATTATTTTATCCTTTTTATGGCTGAGTAGTATTCCATTGTTTAAATATACCACATCTTCTTTATCCATTTATCTGTCAATGGACATTTAGGTTGTTTCCATGTCTTTCATGGCTATTGTAAATAGTGCTACCATGAATATTGGGATGCATGTGCCTTCAAATTATATTTTTCTCTGGATATATGCCTAGGATTGGGATTGCTAGATCATATAGTAAGTTTATTTTTAGTTTTTTAAGGAACTTCCATACTGTCCTTCATAGTGGCTGCACCAATTTTCATTCCCATCAACAGTGTAGGAAGGTTTCTTTTTCTTCACACCTTCTCCAACATTTATCATTTGTAGGCTTTTTAATAATGGCCATACTGACTGGTGTGAGGTGATATTTCATTGTAGTTTTGATTTGCATTTTTCTAACAATTAGTGATGTTGAGCATCTTTTCACGTGCTTGTTGGCTGTCTGGATGTCTTCTTTGGAGAGATGTCTATCTAGGTCTTCTGCTCATTTTTTGATTCAGTTGTTTGTTTTTTGATATTAAGCTGTATGAGCTGTTTATATATTTTGGAAATTAGTCTCTTGTCGGTCACATCACTTGCAAATATTTTCTCCCATTCTGTATGTTGTCTTTTCATTTAGTTAATGGTATCCTTAGCTGCGCAAAAGCTTTTAAGTTTAATTAGGTCCCATTTGTTTATTTTTGCTTTTAATTTCATTATTCTAGGAGCTGGTTCAATACCTTTTATTTATTTTAATATGGTTCATTTAGACAGTATTTATCTCGATAGAGGGGAATATAAATGTAGAGAAAAATAATGTCTACATTTTGTAAAACCTAATTGGAAATGAAAATTTAAAAGTCCTGCCATGAATTTCCTAACTTGGTCCTCTTGAAGCTGACAGTGAAACTTTGCTCTCAGAAGTCTTGGTGGATTGGCCACTGGAGGCTTTCTTAACTGGGGAAATAAAACTTTTAAATCAGGAATCTGGGGAGATGAGCATTTTAAATGCAGGTTTATCATGTTAAAAAAATTCAGAAGAGCTAACACATTAAAATCTGTATATGTATTTATAATTCGTGTAAAATGGCAATCCTTATCTTGTGGCTGATCATAATAGCTGATATATCATAGGCGTTCAATAAATACCTTTTAAATGAGCAGATGGATGAATGTGGCAAAGCCAATGTCAATACCAGCACTTGCCAAAATAACAGTATCTAATGTCTATTGATGACTTATTATGTGTCAGGTATAGCTTAAACATATAGCACACCTTCTCTCATTTAAATCCTTAAGCAACACTAGGAAGTAAGGACTATTTTAAACTTTTATTTTGCAGATAAGAATACAGGGACCAGGGATATTTAGTAACTTATTCAAAGTAAAGTTGTATACCCAAGATTCAAACTTGCACCCTATGGGTCCAGGTCTATCCTGGAATCCACAAGGATGTGCACTCTCCAAGAAACAAATCTCATCTGGGCCTGATTAAGCTCTGCTTAGTCACTCCCAGAAGAGAAGTGTTCTGCAGGCTTTCTGGAGGGGCCTCTTAGAGTTTAGTGATGAGGCTGACCAAGGTTATGTGAGGACAAAATGATGTTGGGTAATGAGTGAGGATGGGCTATGGGCCAGGCTGCGGCTGAGGAGGTGCTGCTCCTTCAGCAGAGTTCTGCAGGGAATCTAATTGGAAATACGTTTTTAAAAGTGAATGAAATACAGTAACTATGGGCCTCAGGTTTCAGTACCTAAATTCAATATGTTGTCCAACATGTACCCTGGTAAAATGAGCAAGGGTCAGAGAAGCCCAACCTCAAACACTTTTTTAAATTATAAGGCCCACGCCTTGGGAGAAGAAGGATCACCACTGTCAGTGGATATAGGGTCTCCTACCTTAGGTACTGGCCCTCTAGGAGGTCCTGGATTGCCCAGAACAGTCCTGACAAGGCAAAAAGTAACTCCCAGCAGGGGATCATTGGATGGACTTTAAAAAAGATCCATAAAGTCTCCCAGCTTCTCCCTGTCATAATGACAGAAAGGAACTGTGGTGGCAACCCAAGAGAAGGTTCTCCTAAAGCCCTCCAGGATGGTGTGGGGTTGGGTTACATAATAAAACCTCAAAATCTGTCCATTAAAATCAGGTTGATTAAAAAAAAAATCAGGTGAAAATAAAAAGCAGTTCCCAAGCTCAGTGTGCACTCACCTCTCTGTTTCTTGTCATGAGACTTCATCCAAGGATACAGTACCACCTTGCTCCTCACCAGTGTCAGGCCAGAGCAGTGCAGGTGGGTCCTTCCACAGGAGTGGCTGCACACTGTCCAGTTTGGCTCAGAATTCCTGTTATATCTTAACATATTATTATAAATAATAATATATTAATATTATGTATTACAATATATTGTATATCAAAGCATTTTATATATATATATGTATATACATATATATAAACATACACTACTCGAATCCAATGGCTATGAAAGAGACCAGAAGCTTTCAATAGTATTATAAAAAGCAGAACTTTTTTTTTTCCTGAATGAAATCATGCCTGGAACCTCAGCACAGAAAGTGAAGGGGAGCTCTCTAGTTTCCTGGCTAGGTGGAATGGAGGGTAGTTGGTGGGGTGATGGGTGGGGCTGGAATTGGGGCCATCCCAGAGGGGTCATCCCTGAAGAGACACCAGGGAATTAAAGTTCTCTGAGGGATGATCCATCCTTTGTTTTGGGGTCCTGCCTTGTATCCCTAGACTTAGTCCAGGGCCTGACCTGTTCAGCATTTGTTGAATGAAGTGAGGAAGAAGAAAGGAACAGGGGCAGTCACATCTGCATTCTCTGATAACTGGGCCAAGACTTCAGGGTGGGGATGAAGAATGGCTTTAAGTTTTGGAGAAGCCATTGGGCAGGCAATAAAACCTGTGTTTCTATGAACCGTTTGTTATTCTTCCTTCTGTTGCTAATGACTGATACTAATGTTTATTAATAGGCTAGTCATGTGTGCATGTATTTACATCTGAGTCTCAAGTCTTTTTTTTTTTTTAAAGAACCAGCTATTTGGATCCTCCATCATCCCAAATGCCTCTTGGAACTCCTTCTAGGAGTCCCTGTACGGCAGAATGTAAGGTTTTGTATTCACTGCACCCAATTCACTGCACCCTCTGAATGGCTCTGATGAACTTCCTCACAAGACCCTATGAGACATTTTAAAAGTAAAATGCCTTTAGGAAGTTTCTGAGAAATAAATGTGGGCTTTTTTAAAATTAGTGTTGACTTCAGAAATGAATGTTTCATTTGATGATATCTAACATCATCCTGGAAGAGGGTGATGAGATTTCCAGTGATTCTAGATGTTCAGAGTTGGTTTCACTATTTTCTGAAGGAGAATTGAATTAGATGACTGCAAGTGATAGCATGCCAAGATTTAGCAATGGGTTTGCAGAATCCTTTAGTTACATGTAAACATTTTCTGGTCCTAAAGTCTTCATCTTACTGCCAAAGGTGGAGTGGTGATTTAGCTGGGAAACATCATATTTATCTGGAAAACATCAAAAGCATTTTTTCTCACCTACCAAGTCATAAAAAGGATTTCATGCTTCAAGAACCAGGCATTTTCTGCTCTTATTTGCTGTTGTATTCTAGGCATCTAGAACAATGTCTTGTAAGTGGTATACATTCAGTAACTAATTTATGAGTGTATGAAGCATGCTTCTCTGCAAGTCCGTTGTGAAATTCAGGCACATGAGGCCAAAAGGAACCAAGTATCAACTTCTTTGACTTCTCAAACTTGAAAAATTTTTTTCTCATCTGTGGATTCATTCCTTTACTAGGGTCCACCCAATTACTCCACATTTTTTGAGATGAATGGGATAGAAAAACCAACTTCTAGATCCAACCCAATAGAAAAAAAACCAAATAGAAATTTGTAGAAATGTTAATTCCCTGATAGTATAGAATAGAGGGTCCCAACATGTCCAAGTATAAGGATGTCTATTTGATATTCAAAGTTTTTGCACACTGTCATCTAATGGTTGTATTTTTAGTATCCAGTGATCGCTTTTTTCCATAATATGTTTCCTCAATTAAAAATTCAGTCACATTTAAAAATAAATTTGCATTTTATTAATCAAAACCACATCTATAGAACTTGAAAAATAGTTTTATATATATATAAACATATATATATATAAACATATTTTATATATATATAAACATATATATATATATATATATATATAAACACTGATTTATAACAATGCTTGACACACATATAGATTCATGGACTACTCTCTTCCTTCCCCCCCGGTCCCAAATCCTATGGTGGAACTAATATAGATAGATCATATTATATTTGTAAAGAAAAACTACTTTTGGTTAATTTACATAAATTATTTTTAAGGAATGAAGTCCTAGTAGTACTAGTAGTAATAGATGAACACACTATAGCTACTCACCATCCTGAGACTAAAATTTTGAAGGGGTAAATTCCTTGAGATAGGAGAAGGGAAGGAAAACAAATGAGTCTTTCTCTTGCCTGTTTCAGACTTTAGCACTTCCCTGTCTTCCACATCATGATTCAGGACACAGGGCAGACATCTTGGAGAGCACCCCATCTCTATCATTGTCTGTGAGCCACCAACAGGTACCATTATTTTATTCATTCAAGAAGCCTCCCTTTCAGGAATGTATATTGCTTCTTGGCCCCTGCCTGGTCCCTACAAGTCCTGGGCTAAGAGCCAGGAAAAGAATGTGATTGCTCAGACGAAAATCAATGGGCTGGGATTTCTTCACCTTGGGTGACTCCAGTCTACTCCAGGAATGAACTGAATTGTCTCTGAGCAGGGAAAATAGTACATCCCCTTTGGATTCACTCCTTTATTTATAAGCCATAACTTCAGGGACAACAAGCTGAAGGATCTGCCAGCATCCTTGAGCCAGCATCTCAGCTGATGTCACAGTTAACAGTCTGAAGTAGTGGCATGGGAGGGAGGGTGAGCAGTCTTGTAGGACTGAGCCCTTAGCCTATGAAATCAGATGATATCTCCAGGTAGATAGTATCAGAACTGAGTTAAATTGTAGGACACCCAGCTGGTGCTGCAGCTGGTGGGAATAAAACCCTTACACATCTGGTGTCAGAATTGTTGTGACTATGGTAGTAGTGTAAGAGTAAAGGAGAAACACAAGGAAGGAGAAGTGAGTTTCTCCTACACAGTGAAGGTTATTAAGCAGGACTATTCCTGAAAACTCTGGTAGAGGAGCTGACCTGGCCATGCACTCATTTGTCCTTGGTGCTTCCTCTTCTCTCTTGGCTATAGTATTAACACAGTGGCCAGAGCGGCAGCTGCCATTCTGGGACAAGAGGAGTACTGAGGTTGTAAAACTTACGTAGGCTAGTAAAGCACATAGAACAAACTTGGGCCCTTAATTTCATGGCAGAACCTCTACAGCAGCCCAAACTACTCATCACCGGACTTAACTTTCAGGAGAGAACAGTAAATTCCATCTGGCTCAACTCACTGTTATCTTGTGGACTAAGAACATTGATATTACCTAGAAGCTGGTTAGAGAGGTAGAATCTCAGGCCCTTCCCTGGCCCAACTCAATTGGAACGTGCATTTAACAAGATCCCCACATGCTTTGCATGCATACTTGCACACTGAGGTTGGAGAAATGCTGATCTAGATGTAGTTGGTATACGTAGCCCAGTCTCTCTGTTTATAAGAGATATAAGAATAATGCATCCCACTTGCCAGTACTAAAACATAATAAGAATCACACAATTGTAGGGTAGAACAACTACAGGGACCTGAGTTCTTTGTATACAAAGAAAGGAAGCTTCCATGTAAATTAGTTAATTAATGTTCCAACCACCACACTTGGCACCAGGGATATCCTGGCTCTCAAGTTCATAATATAACAAGGGAGACATGTAAGCATTGCATTACAGTAACTGTTTACATGCAACAAGAGAGAGATGCTCAGATGTTTGGGGAAAACAGATGAGGAATCTAAGCCTTCCCTCCTGGGCTATGGAGCAGGTTTAAGAAAACTTCTTGCAAGAGATGTCACCCAAGTAATTATGGATTATCTTGCTTCTTCTTCTAGCTTCAGAGATGCAGAGGCCATCCGTTGTGGGCTTAGTCAGCCTAACAGCCTCCCAGAGGAAGAGTTGATGCTTAGAAAACACAGATTCCAGCACTAATGTCATCACCTTATGCCATCTTTAGTTTCTCAGTTTATAATGTAGGCTTCTTGGCTCCATTTTACAGATGAGGACAATGTAGATGCTGAATAGTGAGTGTATTTCAAGAGACTTGGTGTAGGTGACCAATTAAGTCTATATGAGGATTTAGCATTCATTGAACTCTAATATCTTCTCAATTTTGTCGACATTGGGTTTCAAATTCCATCGTTGATTAGCTATTTCTATTTATCTGTCTTCTCTGAACAATCTAAAGTTGGAAATCCTTTTGATAGATATTTAGAATGTATCTTCCTCTTCTCTTTATATTTCTATTTGATATTCTTCAGTTCATTAGATTATTAAAAATGAAATCACATTTTTGGATATTTGTGGTTTGGCTGGCTAGCTGGGAAACTGTTTTCTGGCATTCATTAATGCTTTTTTTCTTTCCATTTAAAGAACATTTACTGGATTTGGTACTTGAAAAAAGAAAATGCCAAATTAAGAAATGGGAGGGAGAATAAATGCCCTGTGCATGCAAAAACCCAGAATGATTTTCTTCTCCCAATTTTTATGAATTTGACAGTATTGAGAATGGGAACATTGTTTCTAACAAAATCCAAATTTTTATTTCTCTCTATAATTAATATGGCTTTAATTATTTCTTCTTCTTCTCCTTCTTTGTCTTCTTCTTCTTTCCTACTGCTTTTCTGAAATGGCTTTCTAGAGTCTGATCTTCTTCTTCCTTAAAATAGACCAAAATAGCCTTGGTGGTGAATACTATCGTGGAAGTGAAACAGACAAGGACTCAGCTTGCCTCATGCTCGTGGTGTGTCTACTTCTCTATAGACAGTGCCTGGGTCCACAGCTGACTGCTTCCCACTCCCCTAAGTTAACTACAACAAGGGGAAGACAAAGAAAGCCTTGAAATCTTTTTGTATTCTCCTCTCTTCCGAAGAACTCACAAGTTCGCAAGTATTCAACCAGTGCTAACTAGAGGGTGTTGCCAAGCATAACAGACTATACACAAATGAACAAGGCCTCCCTCATATTGCAATCCCAGCAGAAAATGATGCAGCAAAAGCAATCCCCAACCCTTGGTTGCCTGCCACACAAGTACTTGCTTCAAGCTCTGTATTCAGCCAGTTCTAGGACGCTGCCACCTTTTCCTG